ATAACTTGCTGGCTGCGTGTTCATGTATTAGTATAGTATCGTGTTTCCTTCTATGTCATTTTTTCTATTTTTCCTATACAATGTTGCTTGTTCATGTGTTTGAATATGCAAGCCACTATACGACTATACGGAGGGATTCGAATTTCCCTATTGGATACATCACTCTGAAAGTGCCTTTTCTCTTCATTTTCCAGTTGGTGTGGGCCATGCCGATTTCTTGCACCAGTGCTAGAAGAGGCTATTGGCGCGTCAGATGGTCAGATAAAACTTGCGAAGATCGATGTGGACTCTGAGGGTCGTTTGGCTCAAAAGTACAAGGTATTTTGTAAAAAGAGTCTAGACTTATTGTTCAACTTTCGTTCAGTGCCATCTGCCCTGGCATTGTCACTGCTTTAATTGCATAAGACAGTGGGAGACGAAACAAACTCAAAAGCATATCGAAAGAAAGAGAACTGGACAAATGACACATAATGCGATAGTAGCTGCATCGGCTGATGGCGGTAGTAGGATGATTTTCGATAGGCAGTGCCGGGTATTCTTCACTGTCGTCTATGAATATAGATTGATGCGCGATCTGTGCATCTATTTTTATTATTTTTTTGTACAATCGTGCTGGGCGGAGAGAGAGCACGAGCACAACAATCGAGTAGCACTGTCAGAAATACAAAGCCATTTTTTTCATTTTCTTCATCCATTTTCAGGTATCATCTATACCCCTGGTATTGGCGTTTCATAAAGGAGAGGTCGTTGATAAATTCAGTGGACTCCACGACCAAACCTTTGTCGACAACTTCGTTTCAAAACTGGCTGCACTCAACAAGAGGAGTAGTACTGAATAGATCAGCATCGACATTTGAGACGCCGGGTGTGAGCATAGGATGCAATTGATTCAAAATAAAACATACCTGAGCATTAGGTTTTGGGATCTAGCTATGAAGTAGCAGTGCCAGAGCCACCATTAAACGAGTATTTGCAGGCTGCGTTAATATTTAAAAATTGGTCATTTATTGTCGAAAGCGCTGCTGTGTGTTGCTGCTTGCTGGTAAAAAAGTTCTAAGTTTTGTGCACTATGGTGTCCGTCGTGAGATATCCTATGTCAAATGCGCTTTACTTTTACAGCGAATACTCTGCGCAATTCGCTGAAGAATAATTGATAGATTGGTTATTTGGGCGTATAGCGTAGCCTGGTTTAGATCAGAATCCATCTTCTACGCTACCAAGATTTACTAATCTCAGTACTGCTACGTGCTGATCGACTTGAGAAGATCTTCACCAGTTGTAGGCAAGATCACACCCAAATGAGGCGATACATTCATCATTCACAGCCTCTATATCAAGAACAATCCTAGGAATCCTCTGTATTCTGCTTTTTGGCTGACAGATCACTAAGGGGTGTACTCGCAGAATTCGTACTCGCAGCCCTTCTCCGTTTGCATCTCTGACTTGGAGACTAAATCGAACCGGTGGTCACTCTCAGGATCAGCAAAGAAAACGTCACATTCAAATGCCCCGTATACCCTGGTATCAGGAAGTAGGCAGGATGCACAGAGTGCGGATGTTATCGTCAAACGAACGGTGTGTAACGGGATATAGCAAAGTCCAGTACAGACCTTGCGAGGGTACAGCTGAAAGTAATCAATGGGGAATGCGGACGTTGGGTGTGATCATAGGAGACTAACTAAACGGCGTGCATTACTTGGGTGTCACATAGGCACCAATAGCACTTGGGGCCATTGTTAGGGGAGGGGCATAGCAGGAACTAATTCCATAGCGAAAGTATGAAGGTGTGAGAGGTTGAACACGTCAAATACAACTTAAAGCAAACATCCGGCGTGAGAATGTATCTCTCGCAACGTCATATGAAGATCACAATTGCTTCATACCACACTGAGACTCTCCCTGCCATTCGCTTTTCTCACAGAGCTCGAGAGACACGAGAAGTACCAACGCTCGTCTGTACACACTATTCTAATATGGCACATGTACACAATACGAGAGTTGTACTTGGTGATTACAAAAGCGTATCGTAGCATATATATAATATATTGACGCGAGTAACTACATTCGGGCATATGGGTGCAAAGACCTTTAGCCAAATGTGCATGTTGAAATACACATAGGTGTTGCATGCTCCAGGATTAAGCGAGACTATATTTCGTACGAAAAGTAATCGCGAAAATCACGAGAGCAGGTCAAAGAGTTAACCAAATTTCATACCAACGTCTACATATGCGAATCCACTCTTGATGTCCTGTCAACCGCTACCACAGCATGCACTCTAGTCGCTTACCTGGTGAAGTGTATCTTATCAATAATACTCGGTGTCTGCAGGGCACTGTTGTACAGCGTTGAGCCGCCGATCAGAAATATGCGATCTATATCGTTGCAGCCATTAGTATTCGCCTGCATCGCGAGTTCAATGCTATGCTCTAACGAACGACCCAACAGCACACCGGAAGGAAGGTCATCGGTTCTGCCATCGAATTGTTCCGGCAAAAGGAGATGAGACCTTGTTTAAATTATGACAAATACAGTACACAGCCATCCCAATGAACCAAACATTCACGGCCGTACACATAGGTAATCGCAAACACAACACACTTCGAAACATGTGCTAAGTCATATACACAGACACACCCGAACTTGTGCGAATCTTAAGATTTGCTCCGCAAAGGAGACTAGCGGTATCCATTTGTTCAATATAATTAGCCGTGGCGAAACAAAACATTCTTGTACTCACTGCGTGTTCTTCGAGCACAAGCATCTAATGATCAACAGAAGCACTTGGACCGTGACGAGTGTGTTCAGGCACACTAATGTGGTCTCCATACATGCACACAACCAAAGGGCACATGCGTGAAAAGGGACCGCAACATACGTACACGAGTATCGGGGTTATAAAAGGACGGTTTAGCTCAGTATTGAATGATTTATATCTCCTGCACACATAATCACAATTCGGGAACAAGAGTGTTAAGGGCAGCGTGGTTGTTTCTATCATTTCGCACGAATGTCGATATACTAGCCATAGTCAAGACATATGTGTATGCATATGTATGCAGGCGTTCACCTAGTATTAATACTTACCTCATAGTTGAGCTTACAATTATGTTCAACCTATCTGCCAACGGTTTAAATTTAGATGGGATAGACTCCCATGTCTTCCTGCCCATAATGACAGCGTTGCGCATACCTTGAAGGGAGACATCAACAAAATTATCAGTCGCGTGCTATAATGCCTACTCAGTTGATAATATGTCAAGCATCTACTTGCATAGCAGTAACTATACACACTGAAGCGACTAATGCAACCCGAGCCTTACACCGACACATAATTCAGCACTTAAGCGAAGCAAGACAGGTCGATATTCATCTTCGAAATCGAGACGAGAATGTACTTAATCGCATTTTATCAGCTATTTTATCGGCAGTGTTTATAGCCATGGGGAATGCACATCTATAGAGGGTCTGCTGATGGAGAAATGCGTACTTCGGGTGGCATTGAAAAAGTATTCTGATGCTTACGATCATAAAAATATAGTCAGATATAGAACACAGTATAAGAAACGCCCACTCACCTGCAAATCAAGACATTCAACAAAGGTGCGAAATACAAACTCACAGATACGAGGCAGGTGAACAAGCAAAACAGGGCTACAAACGACAGCCCGATGCAGTACCCAGAAGGAAAGGCGTGTACAGACATCAAACGACAGCCCGATGCAGTACCCAGAAGGAAAGGCGTGTACAGACATCACATTCAGTCAGCTAAAAATTGCCTTAATCGTTCGAGCTGACACAGCATTGCAAGTTTGCTTGCGAAATCCACAGCCAATGATTCGAGTACCAGAAGGCGTGTTTGGCCCATGTACATTCAGTATACAAGTGTAACGTCGACAGCACTTTTGCGCTCTTAGCGAATACCACAAATCCATAAAACGATATAACAAGACAAAAAGTTCTGTGAGCAGACATAGCTACCAAATGTGTCAGTTAATCACACATTAGCCAAGTCGAACCTAATGGCATAATTGAAATCAATTGCGACTCTGCCACACAAGGAAGCTAACACATATCTGTAATTTCCGCCTTAATCCGAAAACCACACCCGTCAATCTGTGTATGTATATACATTCCCGCTGTACAAGTTATCAATTGTTTTGTAACTCGTGTAATAATGGGTACCTTCGGGCGCAGTTGTGGTGGTTTTCTTAAAGAATGCCATATCACCTCTCAGTCTCCATGGAAGGTTGCCTTTCACACCTATACCACCATCCTTCGCTGTCGCCGCAACGATAAGAGAAATCTTCTTCAACCCGGTGGCCATGATATTATATGATTTCCTCTCTCTACCCCTACAACAAACAGTCTATGCAATGATTAAATATCAAATAAGTACGTGCTTGTACGGTCACGAAGTACAGTATGCTACAATATAGCGACCAATGCGGGGTTAACTTTGGCCGTATGTATGGACTACGGTGGACGTATGTCGTATGCTGTATGGCGAATGGCGGATGGCGTATGCCGTGTGCCGTATGGTCATGCAATTTTTATTGCTTTTGAATATCCCGCCAAAAAATGAATACAGAAAGTACCCGCCAATTTTTTTTGTTGCTCAGTCCTTGGAAGCAGATCCTAGGACAGCCCCAACTTCAGTAACCAGGACAACCTTAGGCAAGGCGCCCACACGTCACTCGATGACAAAAACTACACTGATTCTAGCGCGGCTAAATCATCTAGCTTAGTTCCCTGATAGTAAACGACGTGTGTCTATGACTTTGCTACATGTATACAAAAAACAACAACAAAAAACTGTATAGAGTAATCAAGAGCAACACCATTCAGACGCAGTAAGCTGGAACGACATCACCTTATAACAAACAAAAAATGTATTGCCAGAAACATAAATAAATACATAATATGAGATCAAATTGCCTGGACTACGATAAGAAAAAACGCCTTGAACTCTCGGTCATTCAGAGGCAACGTGTAATTTGGACATCAATTGTACAAAAACGGTGGATTCTGTTGAGGCAATACGCGAAACACGAGCAGTGATAGAGTGTTGCCATATGTCAGACAACTTGGTGGTATTATAAATTTTCAAAAACAGCTTATTGCAGAATTGAAGCCTTTGTTATATTACAATATAATGCGAATTACAATGCAAGATTTCGATCGAGTTTTATATTTTACGAATCTTAGCCGTTATCATCTGTTTACAAAACAGGTGACTTTCCGTATTATACTAGCTACTAGCTACAAGGCCCATAGCTGCACATGGGATATTGAAATATGCATTTTTGTAAAAGCATCGACAACTTCCAGCTCTGGTTATGGTCAGACATCTAATAATTCTGTTCGGAAGAGGGATTTTTTGCCGGCTTCCAGGAACGACCATTCTATAAGAAAAAAATGAGAGCATACGGTGAGTCAACGATCTATTGAAATAGTATTCAGGCCATGAAAGTATATTCAGTGGCAACCATTAGTATATATGTAAATGGGAACCCACTCTGACATACAATAGTCAACAAAGTTCTCCCACCCAATTTGAGAGAAATTACGCTACTCCATTGTGTGATTTGAGGTCAATGCCGGCGTCTAGTGTGGAAGATAGCTCGGTCACATGAAAAACAAGGAACTTAATGACAATCTCAAATTACAGGCAGAATTGCAATTTAAAAAATTCCAGCAGCGTAAAAATTGCGAAAAAATTGAAAGTGTAATCGTAACTAACTGGTTGATGGTGACATGCCGTTGAAAAACATACCCCGTTCGGCTGTACAAACTTGATTGCCTCGCTGTTGTTGCCACTGAAATCGAACTTCCTGGCAGCTGACTGTGTATTAGCAGCAGATGTGGAGCCATTTTTGCTCCCGCCATGACCGTCCACATGCCCTTGGTAGCTTCCCCAAAATAGACCATTTGATTTATCCCCATGAAATATAGAGCCAAGAGGAGCATGTCCACTGGTACCACTCATATCTCCCTTCGAAATCTTTCTGCCATTCAAGTCCATCCTTACTCGCGAGCTCAGGCTATTCTCATTGAGGCCGAAAATGTCTTGGCGACTTGCATTCGAACCAAAGGGGGGCGGTTGTGAGTGAGGTGCGTGCCTGCTAGAGCCACCACCTTCTAGACATGACGGGTGAAAAAAGTTCGTACCAAATCCGTCGCAGCTTACATCCATGGTCTGCAAAAGAACGAGAAAATATATATGAATATGTCAACTGTGTAAATCCAAGTCGAGCCCGGAAGATCATTCTACCTAACGAAAATCATGGTAACGCAGACTACGAGGCTTTTGCTACCGTTGACAATGGGCTGTTCACTCGGAGTGTACGGTGCAAGTAGCTTTATGCCCACTTGGCTACAAGGTTCCATAATACACACGCGTTGAATGTACAACCTATACTGATGTATGAATATGCAATCGCTGAACGCCCTTTAAATATCAGGACATTATAATGTGTAAATATAAGTTTACATAAAGAGATATGTAACATTGTGTCATAACCTTTTACGCACGAGGACATACCTCGTCTCCCCAGGGCGAGTTAGACGGGGCCAAAAGAACACCAGGTCCTTTCGACACCTGGCTATTCACAGATTCCTTCCGCGAAAACGGAATTTCAACTTTATCTGTAATGGATAAGTGACAATCATGAGTACGCACTCACCCGTTTGCATCTAATACGATTTTCCCACACGGAGGTGTTTCTAACTGAGAATAAGAATATATGCTCGTTGTGGTTTATATTAAAACAATAGCGAAACGGTTCACACCCTGGATGATAGTATGTACAAAGGCAGGGACATAATGTGCTGATATAGTGTGAGATAATGTGTCAGAAACATATTCATATCCACGCAGAAGTGTGTCTATCCTTCATACACAAACAAATTACAACACTCGCGGCTCACGGAGGATCAATTACCTATACCTGACCACTGGTTATCTGCGTCCGTGCAAGTCATAACAAATGTTGGTTTCTCCAGTCTCTTCTCGACTTCTGCTAAAGGAGCCTGGCCTGAAGTGTCTTTGAGCTGTTTCGAAACTCGTGCCTCATTGATGGTCGTCTCAAACGGCTTTGAGGCAAGCGAATGTTCAGACAATAGTTGTGGCGGACCGATATCATCACTACTACGCTTTTCGAAGCTGAACTCACTGGACTTCCCTATACTGCGTACGGTCTGCGGTGGAGGTGGCATGATGTGGTCCTCAAAGAAACTTTGATCTGTTTGAGATGGAGATCTTGCAGCTGCTTTCGGAGTGTTTGAGAGCGGCTGGACTTCTACTGGCGCGTGTACATGCGGTTGTGTCTGATCTAATTTTTGGAAATCGGTTTGATCTAATTTCTTGGACCCATTTTGGTTGTCTCGGCCTCGGACTTCATCAGAGAAACGAGGTGATGCTAAACTAAACTGCAAATCGAGAGGTAGATCTTGATCAAGCCCATTGTGTAGACCTCCGAATGAGGAGGATATGACCCCCGGCGCACGATTTGTCCTATTCCTTGGTAGCAAGCCATGCATGTTGGCTAGGCCTGTACCCTGCCCTGTACCCTGCTTGTCGTTTAAGTGTATATTGATGTCATGCTCGGCGGCTCCATTCCATACAGCATTCTCATGCTGCGCCTGTACGTGATCCGTCTGCAAAGTCAATCCAAAGTCAAGCCGACCCATAGACACAGGCTGATTGCTGCGCGTTGTATCCTTGCCTACCGCTACAGCATTATGATCAATAGATAATTCTACCCCGGTATGCCCGTTTGCGTGTGGGCCTGTGGCCGACATCACTGAACCATCTTTGGGCGGAACGGTTTGTACCTCACCCAACGCTTCTGATGAAAACGACAGGCTCAGAGAGTCAGAAGCTTGTCTAAAATCGGGCAGATTTGAGCCATTCTGCCGACTGCGCGGTTGCTTCTGTGACTGTGACTGTGGCTGTGCTCGTTGTCGGGCTTGTTGCTGATTCTCATACATTTGCTGCGATTGACGTGCTTGTTGCTGTTCTGCGGTGTTTTCTAATTGACGCGCTGGTGTAGTGTACGAGGGAAGGGACGCAGCCTCCGGAGAGTGTCTGCTGTATACTGTTTGCGTATTCGTAAACGAGTGCGGACGAGACAGCTGTCCGGTAGTATTGTGAGTCGATGCACTTGTAGATACCTGTACTTGAGTTTGTTTTGTAGAAGGCAACCTGAATGGCTTCTGAAATGGTATCACAATAGTGCTGGGCGGAGGCGTGTTGCTTAATGTGTACTGTATCCGTATGTTCTCGGCGGTAGTGGGACCGAGTATCTCCTGGAGATCATGTACGGTTGCGGCTGACGGGCATGAGCGCAAACTAAATTTCACACGCATCACGTTGGTGGCTGGTGGTGTAATTTTGGATTTATAAAATGAGATAAATAAGAATAAACGAGGATGAGCCTGTTAACCAATTCCAGGAAAAGAAGGAGTGGAATCTCGTTAAATGAAATCAAAAGAAGGGATTATTTAAGGTTGAAAGTAGGGATGAGCCCAACCTTTTGAAAGTCATACCTGTGGTTTGGTTCAAAGGAGTAGCCCACAAAGTGATGTCCGGCGCCGGCACCGAGGATCTGCTGAACCATTTCTTTTCTAAATGTCCTAGAATCTTCGATACTTGTTTACTACCCTTCTTAATTTGCAGCCTGTATATTCAATGTGTAGTAGAAATATGTCTCAGTTTATAACGCCCAGATGAACGAAGACAAAGACAGAAGGGACGAGTGCCTGCATGTGAACCTGCGCCATTACAGTGAAGTAGCGAGAAATAAAATACTCAATACAAATCAGAAACCAGACACGCAACAACGTATAAAACCTAACACATACGTTATCAAAGGATTCATGCCCATCTGCAGGAGGCGTTCCTTGTCGTCAGTCAATGCTGGGACCATGTCCACCCGCATAGGGCCTGAGGTAGTCTTGGCGGTACTATTTGTCCCTTCAGTTGGGGTGCTATTGGGCTGGCGTCTTTCTGTATTCATAGATGCTTTGCCAGCAGGACTAGATTGGGCCCTTGTAAGTGTGCGTGCACTCAGCTGTAGATCAGAATTCGCGTCGATTTGCAGAACCTCTAATGGGTGCGTATTAGCATTGCCGTTCGCGTGTGCTGACAGATATCGCGAAGTACGTTCAGAATACTGACCTGACACATCGACTGTGGCATGAACACGTGCATCTGACTGTACAGGCATGCTAGAATTGGCCTGTGCATGTATGCCCGATTGGGGTCGAATCTCAGCGCTAGCTTGTGCATATATATCTGAGTGGGTATCAGATTGTGCACGTATGGTAGCCAACCGAAGCTCCACATCGCGGTCAAGATCTCCCCAAGAAAGCTGATCTGCGCCGAGTACTTGTCGATCCATTGCTGAAGCCGGATTAAGATGCGTATCGCCGATGGAAGTTCGAGAATCGCAGGTTACCCCATGTACAATCTGAGTCGTTAGCATCCGATGCTGTGCCCGTATGTGGTCTTCCGCGCCTATCACTGTATTGGGAGTCCCTGCTCGGAAATCGTACATACCATTTCCTAAGCCACCGCTGCCGGTGCTAGACACAGAGTGTCGATCTTTTCTCACGAAACTACCAATATCTTGGTGCGATTGATGCAAGAATGAGGACTGAATGTCAGCCTGAGCAGTCGACTGCGAGAGTTGCTGGGGCTTGGGTTGTATCTGGGAAGCGGGAACGGTGTGCGCCGGCAGATGCATGTCGGTTGCATCATTAGACATCCCGACTAATCTCAATTCGGTGTCCATCTCTACGTCTACATCGATGTTTATGCTTGATTTGCCGTTCATCTCCTCGTGGGTGGGAATAGTCTGAATATCGTTTATACCATTAGGAGTAGCGCCATTGCTATCGAGTTTCTCACCGGGGGTTTCACCCGTGATGGTACGATAGGCAGCGCCGAATCTATCCTCACTGGACACAATCATCTCGTTATTCTGCCCGAAGCTGGACCCAAAAATATTACTGCCAAAATCTATTCCACCATGACTTGACCGTTCAAAATGTGCTCGTATCTCTTCTGCAGGGGTAGTCTCCAAGTGTCCTTTGATGGTACCAAGTGACAAAGACGAATATCCGGATCGCAAGCCCGAGTAACCATCTGAAAACTTCTCGGCATTCTTGTCAAAGATATTCGTGCCACTTAAACCCGATGACGATCCTGCGGGAGCCTTGCTGTGTACTGTACCTTCCTCCTCCGATTTCCGTTTTACGCCAATAGGCTGCGACAACTCAACGCTCGACGTTTTGTCCCGTACCATCGCAGTCGAAGCAGGGTCTAAGTTCACCTTGCTGAGGTCTACAGAGAGCGGTCGACTGATTGTCTGTAAGACTGCTCGTCGCGGTTTCTTCTTAATCCCCTTACCAATACCCCCATCATTTCGGGGTACATCGCTAGGCTGAACTTCCTTGCTAGCATGGACACTAATATTATACTGTGATGTTGGCTGTTCTCCGGGTGAGGATGCGGTCGTATTCTCGTTTGCGTGGCTGTGCTTTCTCAGCTTGTTAGCCCTCGGGAACGCACTGCCCGTATCGATGTCGTATTTAGACAGGTACCGTTGCAGTTTCCGCTTAGAATAACGACCCAGTAACTGGGATATTTCATGTTTCAGCTCTTCGTCGCTCTCATCGCCCCCACTGCCAAAATCTGTATGTGACAACATGGGGTTGTCAGCTGTAAGCCGTGTTTCCCCCTGGATGTGAGTTCCTAGTCCAACTTCCTCACCAGACTGTGCGCGTCTTCCCATGTCTGTACTCATGCGCAGAAATGTAGGTGTTGGCTTCGGCTTCTCGGTGGACCTCTGCATGTCGTTGATAGTCTGTATAGGCGTCTGTTTCCTTTCAGGCAAAGCTGAAGCTGATGATAAAACCGTAAGCGGAAGATCCCTTTCTTCTAGGCCAGTATCTACACGTCGTGATATTTTTACGTCCACCTCCATGTTTGTATCATCAGTATAGTTCAGGGGTGCTGTAATTGTAGTTGATTCCGCAGCAACGGACAGGCCGATCGTCGGAGATTTAGCATTCATATGCGTAGATGTACCCTCATGTTTTGTAGCAGCGGTGACTGGCAACTCCGGTGCAGTGTCCGCCACTATGTCATCCTCTCCCGTTGCAGCAAGCTGGTTAGACAAGACACTATTTATTTCAGGTTGTTGTTTGAGGTTCTGTTCCTCCAAGTTTGAAGGTGTAAGCGAATGTGGCGTCGAGATTGGCTGTGATGACACATTAGTCGATTCGGATATTCCGGCAGTACCTTGGACTGTCAGCTGCGGTTGCTGAATTGGAGGCGTATGTGTAGAATATGTTGAATTTGACTGCGATTGAGACCGGGTGGTTAGACATGAATGTAGTTGCGTTTGGGGCGGCACACTCATGCGAGATTGAGTTCGGGTGGGTGAACCTGGGTGCGAGTGACATATGTTTGGGACCGACGGAGAAGAATTCGGATTCGATTGGGAAGAGAGCGCTGAAGTTGGGTGCGGTTGACTACTTGGTGGCGGTCCCTGGAGCGCTAGGTTTGCGGAAGGGGGTTCGTTCGGTTGAGCGGAGTGTGCTGGAGATGAGTTAGATTGAGTGTGAAGCGGTGATGGTGTAGCATGTTGGCGCGAGTCAGATTGTCTCGCCGACAACGCGGCCTGCTGATCGTATATTGTAGGCCCCGGCTGTGATCCGGTACTCAGTTTAGATTGTAATGGTTTGGGTGGCTTATTGACCAGCACCGTCTTCGACTTCTCCTTCTTATTTTTCTTCTCCGCTGTTTTTGCACCTACAACAGAAACAAAGCACAATAGCTTTCAATGCCCGGCCGACTAGTGAGTTTACGTCAAATCAATTCGAAAATGTATACATTGTAGATAAATGACATACGTGGTGGGCGCTTAACGCTCAACGCTGGTTTCTATCTGAAATATTGTATAATAACCACACCTTGTATGGGAATAGATATGAATACCATCAATCGTTATCACGAAAAGTGAATGTTTGTAAATTTAGTGTCGTATATAAGGATATAGCTAACACGCTCACATTGCCGAGACTGCTTACCACTGGCCGATTTCGATCTCCACAGGCCAGAATCGCCATTAATCTTAGTTTTGGAACCTAACACCGCTGGAGTGCCTTCTGCAGAGGGCTGTCCTGACAACCCCTTTTCTGTACTGGTGTCTGTGGCAAGTGCCGGTGCATCCGACGGAGTGGTTGCCTTCTTAATGTTCGTCAGAGATCCACGGCTTGCCCGTCGACGATTGTCGAGCACTCGTTCTTTCCCCTAATTTAAGAATATTGGGGATAGTTCAGAGTGCAACAAAAAATTATTTCGAAAATTCTGCAACTCAAATCGATAAAGGAAGGTACGAATCTGTAGGAGAAGCATGCGAACTCGGAAGCATGGATGTATAACGCACCTGTATCCATGATCTTCTTCTCAAAACTTGAGCAGACTCGCTCGTATGTTTCTAGGCATAAGTGAACAAATCGCATACCTGGCGCTTGGTTCCCAAAGCCATAAACAGACGTTGTGGCATCGGAACAGACTCGTTCTGCTTGCGCGGAGCACCTACATTCGAAGTACCCACACTTTCATCTCTGGTAAACCCTTCAGCTGTTTTCAAACTTCCATTGGCGCACGAGGCACCGGCCCCCTTCCCTGTCCGCGAATCTGCCTCACTTTCAACATCATCCACGTCGGACAGACATTCCTCGAGTTCATCAAGGTCAATACACATTCCATCGTTCGTATCGTTGTCCAAATCCACCGTGCTCACTTGAGGTTTGTACGATTCGAGCTCAACCACGGTCTCCGCCTCTGGCTCCAATATCGGTGCACCAGAGTGTACAGGTCCAACTGACCCAGTCTTTAGACTTGGATTATTGCCTGGGTCTGTACTCGTTCCGATAGGTTTATCGGCAGCTGATGTACGGCTACGGCTACTATTATTAGTTGTTTTTGATTCTGAAACGGTTTTAGCTACAAGCCCATCTGTAGTACTAAGGTTATTTTTCGATGATGGCGGTGCTTTGTTAGATGCTCCAGCTCGGACAGGAACTGAAGACTTTGACGATGTACCTTTGAGAGTTTTCGATACTTTCAATCGCGGGTATTTCTTGGGTGGTGGTGGTTTCATATCAGTGTGGTGGTGGTTATGATGGGGGTGTTGATGCGCGTGCGGACAAGGCCCGTACTTGGGCAGGGGTATACCATTGGCATCAAAGTACTTATCTCGCTTGCAAGACAGCCTGTGAGTACAAAGGTAATGGCACATTCAGTACACATAAAGAATAAATCTGGACGGATGTGACAAGGAAAAGGCATAAAACAAACGCACTAAACAGGCATAAAACAAAACCACTTAACAGGATTGGCTCATGAGGGACAAAAACAAGCCCAATGCTACTCAAATAACCTTTCATTCAAATATTGTTGTCACAAGTGACACACTATGAAGTTGGTAACAACAAATACAAAAATAACTCGCTTGAATAAATGAATAAATATGACATAAACCGTGTTGCTTTTGTCACATACTTCCTGGTCTTGCCCATCTTGGTAAATTCGGTCTTTCCTTCCAAGCAAAGCTGTTTCAGGCGCGGAGCGAACAAATGGGTGTAGCTGAAGCTCGAAGAAAGATTATCCGCAGGTAAATTCAAGGTCTTCTGTAGGTAGTACAGACACTTTAACTGGTACCTTTCGTCCGAGCCTGACGCGGGCTTGCATTCTGTGAGTAGAAGGAACATTTCATTTAAGTGCATGATCACGAACATATGCTGAGTGGCTAAATGGATTTAAATTAACTTCCGCTTGCTATCAAAATTCGAACTGCTGGCAGAATGTAAATTTTCGGAAGCACGCATACGGTACACAATCGTGCAAAAGCGAGAGCAGAGAACGATACTCACCATCACCAAGCATCTTATAGATCATTTTCAGGTTCTGATAGTAGTAATTCCGGATTTGATCTTGCATTCGTCCGGCAACGCGAATCTTATCGAACTCCTTTCCAACCTGGTAGGCACACGATAACGAATGTCAAACTGTCGTTTAGCTAGGTGAAATGCATAGGAACGTCCACACACACGTACACACACACACACACA